CTCTCTTATGTATTGTAACTCAACACAATGAGGGAGGTTAAAAAGTAGCTGTTCTTCTATCTGCTTTTTTTCAGTAGCATATACAGGATAGAAAATAAGGGGTAGGTCCTGTCCACAATATGCATTCAGATGATAGTGGGCAATGGAAATGTAGGTGAGATGACTAGAAATTCAAGTTTTGATGTCACTTAATTTCAATTCACTTAAAATATAAAGCTACATTTGCTTGATGGCAGCCAAAGTGAACAATGAGGAGCTACACTGTTTACTCTGTAAGATATAATTCTGCTGGCTGTGCAACTTACAATTTTACAGCCCCATACAAGAATCATCTTTGCTGTATCTTACATCAAATGAATTAACTCCTGAGTTTCAGAAACAGTACAAAACTTATGTTTTAATGTATGTCTACACTGCATAATGTTTAAATCAGGCTAAAAGTGGCCAATTTCCTCAAACATCAGTTCTTCATGATAAAAAAATTAAAATCTTTTATTGTATTTTATTGAAATATACAATGAATAAATATTATCTGTAGTCACTCATGTATGATAGCACCAAGAGGGTTTTCTTTGGAGTGGTGTCAGTGGTCAATACCCTGAAAGCAGAGTTTATACAACAATGTTTTCAATTCTGAAAACTGCAGTTACAGAGACTAAATCTTACTGTTTTACTGTTGTCACTTTTACTGGGAAGATGATAAGAAGAAAATTAGGCTGAACTGTGAGTACAGTTGGCAGAGGATGTGCTACCAAAACATACTTTTCTTTTTTGATAATAAGTCACTAATGTGCATCAGTCTTTAATTTCCCAAAGATCCCCTGCTGGCTTTCCTGAGTATCTTGTCATGCTGGAGGGTCAGAATGTCCAGGTTGTGTGAGGAGAAGAAAGGAAGGAGACCATATAGTCCAGGTCTACCCATGTTTCCATGGTCAAGATTTAGCTCCTGGCCAGGCACTTGTGGCCTTTAATGGCCTTTCCTTAAGTCTCTATCTTCTTTCTTCCTGCCCCTCTCTGAAAGCTAAATGCAAGCATAATGAACTGCATGCATCTCCCCACATCTCTTTCAGGGTTAGTCTGAACATTCTGTTTTTAAAACTCCAAATAAAACAAAACTCCACTTGACTAGCTATTCTTTTTCTACTTAAAATTTATGTACCATAAAATTTACAAGAATTTTGTCCGAATAATATTAATTTGCGACAGAAAATCAAGACTTTGGAAAATATTTGCTCACCAATAGGCTATATCAAGTGGAAGACAGACTACTGGGTTTGAGGACAAATGATGAATTACTGCATTCACAAAGGCATAAAGACAAAACAAGAATTATGAAGCACAACTTTAAAGGCCTCTGGTATATGATTAAGAGATCAAACTTAGGAGTTTTTGGAATAGAAGATGGTGTTGGAATATAGAGGAAAGGCCTTATGCCTTTCATTTAACTGAAGAGGTTAACTGATGGTGGAAAATTCTCCAAATCTATTGAAACATGTGGACATCAAGGTGCTAAAGCATTTAAAACCTGATATGACCACAGAAGGATTTCTTCATGTCATATTAGAGTTAAAATGTCAAGAAGCAAGTCAAAGAACAGTGAAAGTTAGTATAAGCACCAAGTTTCTTGTAAAGGTAAACCTCTCTGAATAAGTCCAGGAGAATTTGCAATGATATATTTCAAGTCCAGAGTGAAAATAACTGTCAACCAAGAATATATATCAAGGTTTCTTTTAACATCAACAAAGACATAAAGACCCTCCAAGACAAGTACAAACTAAAGTAATTCATGACCACTAACCAGCATTGCAGAAGATACTTGAAGGAATTCTACACACAGAGGAGGAAGAAGGAAATCCACAGACATGATAGCTCAGGAAAAAACAAGTCTCACTAAAGAAGAAACAAATGAGAATTAGGAAAAAAATCAAACATAATTAACTCAGTAAACCAGCAAACCTCTAAGATAAGTAGGAAGAAAAAGAACACAAAGTATTCAAAATAACCAGAAAGGAAAACAACAAAGTTGCAGAAATTAGCACATAGCTTTCAATAGCAACCCTAAATGTATATGATCTTAACTCTCCAGTGAAGAGGTATAGCCCATATGACCAGATTAAAACACAAATGCTTACTGTCTGTAAAGCAACTCACTTATAGGCAAAGACAAACAGAGACTGAAAGTGAAAGAATGAAAAATGATACCCAAGCAAATGGAATCTGAAAGGAAGCAGAAACAGCTATACTCATATTTGATAAAGCAGACACGAAGCCAAAATTAGTCAGAAAGATGAAGAGGTATGAAAATGTCTCTACAAAATGTACCAGTAATACACATTTAAAAAGTTTTTTTTTTAAAAATTGTTGTGCTGGGTGGTGGTACCTTGTGGCATTTACAAAAATTCTTACAATATATCAAATATATCGAACTGGAATTCACTCCCTCTATCATTCTTCTTCATCCCCTTCTCCCCTCATTCCTGGTAAAGTTTCAACAGGTATCATTTTTCCATTTACATCCAGGTGTGTACATCATATTCAACCTCCTTCACTATTTCCCCACCTCCTCCTCCCTTCCACTGGTACCAACCCCCCCCCCAAGAAGGACCTGTTCTGTCTTCCTGTTCTGCGTTTTTGTATAAGAAGAGAAGGAGCAGAAAAATGTCATTTTTGGTTGTTCAAGATGTTCCTGATGGCACTTCCAGGTTTATATGTATCATAGCCTGAAAAGGTTTTTTAAAGAGATAATTTATCTTGTTTTCTATTGCCTTTGTTAGACCTATAATTACTGAGAGACTTGAGTAAAGCTTTGTGCAAGCATTTTTTTGAATTTTTAAATGATCACTTTATAATCCTGGTTAAATCTGGTACATTACTCTAGTTAGATAAACAACTATTATTTAACATTATTATAATATGTGTGACATCCCGTATATCTGTGACTAAAGATTATACACACCTGAGGGCTAAAAGAGGCGTGTGTCTAAGCTTCGTCTAACTTCTGCAAGTTTGTAGAGTTGACAGTATATGACTTTCATATATGCAGTGTAACCAATAAGTGCTCTCTTGTATACAATACTTATTGTATCTAGAAGTGAAAACCTACAAAAGAGTCAATGAAATGTTCAGCATTTCTTCTGTTTGTATTTGGTACCATTCAGATGGAAAAACCCTTGCCATTTGGACCGTCCTGCCATTTAAATCCTGGTCAGACCTGTTGCACACTAAGCATTTTGTTATTGTATATATGAGTTGCCCATGCTCATCAGGTAATTAGCCTACTTGTGGTCATTAGCACTGTCTCCTGAACTTGTAAGAGATCTAAGGCTGTCCTTTGATGTAGGCTTGTTAAAGGCACACTTGTCCTGCAGAGGCACGGATTCTCAACTTTACACTAAAAGTAAAAGCTAAGTTAATAGATACAAAGGGCCTCTGTGTAGCTGTGATACTGATTTACACTGGCTTCTTAAATGTATTTGTGTTCCCCACTGTACAGGCTTCTAAAGTACAAAACATAGGAGAATACCTTATGTAGAGATGTCTTCCCAACTAAAAATTAGTAGCAGTAATAGCTTTTTTCAGAGTTCTGTTTGTGTGTCCCTAATTGTATCATGACCATCATCTCTGAAGAAAGATACCTAACCATGCCCATACACTTTGCCTTTTATATGTAAGAGGGAGCCTGTTGAGAAATTCCTATGAATTTAAGTAGTGGAGTAGGTAAAGAATACTTTGGGAAGGTAGTGTCTAGAATGTCCATTTCTTTGTAGGATTGTGACACCTTATGCCTTCAAAGTGCCCTAAGAGGGAGATCCCAAGGCCTGTTACTTTCTAGAGTCTCTTTTTAACCATTTAGGATAATTTAAAGGACTCAATGCAGGTGAATTAAGCTAATACCGTCTGGGCCTAATAACTAATCTGCAGCCAGAAGTAGCTAATTTCTGCTCTAAATAGTTCCAAAGCCTTACCATTAAATGCCAGGAAAAGCTTCTGAAGACCCAGCAAGTTTTGCCCCTTGTTTTCATTGAACGGTTGTTCTGATCCATCTCTCTGCATTAAGGCACCCAGCATGCAGCTTCACTGAGAGCATAGGGCCCTTCAGCTGCTCATGTCAATTCTAAGCGTGCTCCCTCATGGCAGCTTGCACTCTAGGTCTCATTTTATTTTCAATTTACCATACCTATGTTCACTTCAAATGTTCCACAGATGCTTAATAACTATAAGTGCAAAGACCAATTTTGCACATGTGTATATTTTAATACATCTTAATGCAAAAGAATGTCTTTCCTAAGGGAACTCCCAAACAATGCCTAGGCGTAGAAGAAAGAAGTCCAATAAACATTTGTGACTATGAATCTGTATGTTTTTCTGAAAAGGAATGAGCTTTTTACATTTCCACTAATGCACAAGAAAGTAAAACAAGGCAACACTACAGAAACATGAAATTTTAAGCCAACAGATTTATCATTTTTTCTGACACTTTTCTGTATTTCTTAAACTTTTTAAGTATTTTTAATAAACATTGTAATAAAGTAGTCAATTTATTAAGATAATTATTAAAATTCAACTATCCACAGGAAAATTGCAGGAGGTTGCTCAATACCTCTTTAGCAAGCCACTCAAAGTTCCCTACACGAATTTCATAACATGGGGATAAGAAAAAGAATAAATTGGTCGATCCCGTTAAAATACTGAGGTCAGCAATTTTCTCCCCGCCCTGCAGTAACTCCCGATAGATTTCAGTAGGTTTCACACATCCACCATCAAATACACTCCTCTTCTCAGGTTGGAAGCAGGGTGTCCCTTACCGGGCGGCCCAACACCATACCGCGTCTGGGTCTCTGACACCACATCACGTTCAGAATGCAGCTGTATTTCACACTCACTCTCAGATGAAACTGCGGATCCTTCGGTCCCCTCCTTTCAGCTGCGTGTTTTTTCTCACGAAATGCACACACGACACCGGCCGCCCTCTCCCGCCACACCCAGCCCAATGTACTCACTGGGCTCATCCAGGTAAGCAGGACTGGGAACTCAGGATGCAAGACGTACACACAGAGACAAGGTAGTGACTGTCACCGACACAGGAGACCTAAGTCACGGGCCGTGCAAACATGGCCCGAGGCAGTGGCCTCCACTCTTCTGTGCACTGCTCCTCCTGAAATCGAAAGCTCCCCAGGTTCCTGACTCAGGTCCCGCGGCAGGGCGAGCTCTGTCCTGCGCACTGGGGACTCGCTGGGCGTGACCAAGGGACACCCCGCGCAGCCGCGCTCCCAGGCTGGACGCACACCCGGGACCACTGGGCTGGGGCGGCACAGGCCAGGCGCCCCGCAGGCGGTGGCGCGGACCCGGCTGCAGAGGCCCAGGTCCATCTGAGCACTCAGGGTCGGTGGCCGCTTCCTCCTCCCCTGCTGACGTGCAGGATGGGGCGCCGCCTGCAGGGCTGGGATTTGTGGTCCAGGGCCAAGAGGACTGACTGCTGGGGAGCCTCAGGTGCAACCCCAATCCCTGTCTTTTACAGATCTGGAAAATGAGCAGAGGTGGATATGAGGTCATCAGAGTGGGAGAGCATGGAGTGACTGGGGGGACAGTGGAGAAGTTGACAGAGGTGGCGGGGTTATTTCTTGGTTCATACAACCTTCTTTGCATAGCAGATCAATTAAGAAATCATCTATCTGGTTATGATCTTCTCGGGTAACTAAACCCTATAAAAGGAGCACATGGTCTTCTGTGGTAGTGCAAGCCAGTGATCCCAGCACTAAGGAGGCTGCAGCTGGAGGATTGGGAGTTCCAGGCCAGCCTGGACTCATGGTCAGACACTGCCTCAAAAAATAAAAAGGAGTGTGTGAGGTCCGACCTTAATTAGGCATGGATAATTAACAATTAACCCGATGGAGAGTCACATGGTATAGTAGAAAGAGTATGGAACATGTGTCATTACAAAAAGGTGAAATGTTGACAGTTCACCATATTCAATTTCAATATCCACAGAAGTCTTCTGTTTAAATAAACTTTTTATCAAAGTATGAAACCACACAAAGTACAGAAAATCTAACTAGACGATTCGATGGATGCTCACGATGCTTGCACATCTGTGTATCTGCCACAGAGATTTTTAAAAGTAACATTAGCAGAACCCCACAAGCACCAGAGATGCTGGTCCATGCCAGTACTCCCAGCACACAAGTTCAAGGCCAGCCTAAGCTACATAATGAGATCTTGTCTCCAAAAATGAACAACAAAAACAAGAATACCCCAGAAACCATTGTAGTCATACAACTTCCAAAGTTTACCACTATTTTGACTATTTTTTATTCTGACTTTGGTTTTATCCACTTTTCTTTATTTTTAATTTTTGTTTATTAACAGTTTTGGTGATCTATGCAGTGCCTTGGGCATGCCCACACTGTACACTGAGCTACATCCCTAGCCTCTGGAGATTTTAATAGATTTACTTCATGACCTTCCTTATTGATTCTGCATCCTAAAAGTCCTCCCCAAGATCACTGGGGACCTCTTCATTGCACAATCCTGTATACTCTTTTCCATCTCATGGGTGTTTGGTTCAGTGGCATTTGGCTTCCGGAAACTGCCTTCCTTTCACTTCTGTAACTCCCTCTCTTCCCACTGCAATGTTTTATTTTTGTCAGCACCAGGATTTGAACCCAGGGCCTCACACTTGCTAAGTAGGTGCTTTACTCTGCCAGCCCAAAACTTTCCTTTTTGGTGGCACTGGGTTTTGAACTCAGGGCCTCAGTCTTGCTAAGCAATGAATGCTCTTACTTCTTGAGCCACTCTACCAGCTACTCCCTCTCTTCTTGTCTTCCTCTTTATCCTATTCACTTTCACGCTTTTCCTCTTTTGGAAACAGCATTAAATCTTGCATTTTCTGTGATTGGGAGTTTGGCTTTCTTTTTAGGTGATCTTTCCATGAACTTCAAGTAGTACTCTTATAGAAATTCCTAAGTCCCTCTCCCCAGCTGTGAACCTCTCTTATAAGCCAGACACTTTATGCCATCTTCTACTGGACATCTGCAATGGAATATCTCACAGGCATCTCTTCCCCAACTGTTCTAAACTTGTGTCATCATCCCATCCGTCCAAACTTGCTTCAGTCATGTTCTCTATCTCCCACATGGATGTCTTACCCAAACTTGAGTGACCTCCAAGTTTTACCAGTCAGCTCACTGGGGTCCTTTTGGTGTACCTGAATTAGAATCATGGGTAGTCAAGGTGAAGCTCTTCCAGGCCCTTGACTGTTTTTGTAATCACCTGCAGCCAGTGGCAGCAGACAGTAGCAAAAATCAGCAGGTGGCACGCTGTAATGTTAATAGCTCTTGTTCTGGCCATGGGTGCCAGAACCCTTTGTCCTACTGTAACACATATTACAACTCTTGAGTCTTGAGTGCAAGTATCCCAGTCCTTGAAGCGAGTGTTACAGCTCTCTGGAACTCCTCCAGTGAACAGACCCTGCAGTTTCTCTTCTCTCTGACTTTCCCCAGCCTCAGCTGTGCACCATCTCCTACCTTCTCTTTTCTTGCACTGTCCCTCATTGTCTCTGCTACTTCTGCTCCCTGTTGTGTTTACCTCAGCTGCTGTCACTACTGCTGCCACTGCCTCTGCCACTGCTTCCAGTCTGCCACTGCTTTTTACCACTGCCTTTTCTGTCACTATTACTTCAGTTGCTCTGACAGTACTGCTGCTGGTACTGCCATCAGGGCAAGGGCTGCCAAGGCTACAAGCAGTGATACCGATGCTGATTTTGCTACTGCTGACCTGTGATCACTGCTGTCACTGCTGCTACTGCAGCCTCTGTCACTGCCACATCTGCCTGACCTCTTCCCCATCTTTCTTTGTATTATTGCTAAGCCACTCCACTACTGATGAAAATGAAAACCAGTCCAGAAAAGACCACTCAAGAAAAGCCTTCATTGGACCTCATATTGTAATACCAAGGGAAGCACAGGAGGGTGTCTCTCAGCTGCTCATGAGACCACAATAGCCGGCTTATAGAGCCAGAGAGGGGATGTGGCAAGGGCATCTGCACCAATCATAGCAGTCTGTTCAAGGAAAGGAAAGATTGTTCCCACCAATCACACACCAGTCACACACCAGCCCTCAGTCATAGCAGTCCCTTAGGCAAAGAAAGGACTGTATTTACACCAGTTACAGGACATCTGTTGGGCCATCAGGGGAATTGTTTCCACTCTGGCCTGTGTAGAAGTGACTTCATGGTCATCTAAAGTTTGCTGAGGCTTTTAGTGGCAAAAAGTCTGGTACAAGTTGTTTGCTGGGGCAATACCTTTTGAAGCCAGAGATGTGCTTCAGCAGAAAGCTGTAGTTGTCATGTAGCTTTATCAAGCTGTCCATGGAGTGTGCAAAGCAATTGGTGCTGGCATGAGGGCAGTCTGACAGCATACCAGGACAGGGTATGCAACAGGGAATTAGTGTTCCACTAGGAAATGAAATTGCCATGGGCCCCCAACAACTTATTTAAAGGGAAAGCAAACATAAAAAGTTGTACTCACAATAAATTACGGTTTACAATAACAGCTCTGTCCCAGTGACCCAGGGAGAGGTGGGATCCTCTATCTGTTTCACAAAATGCTGCTAAAATCTGTCTTCGTACACACAAAATTCTTGTTCCTATTTAAACATGCATCGTCTTCCTTCTGAGTGTTCATTATTTATTCACGTGACTGTTTTATAACTTATTAAATTAAAAACAGATTTATGATCAGCCCCTAAATTTGTCAAGTTATATTCGGGACACAGGTTCCCTTAATGGGAAGGCCTCTCTGAAGCATTAAACTAGAGTGGGAGCCAATTAAATGAAGACAGAACTGCATGAGTGAAGGGTGTGAGGCAGGAAATGCTCAAAAGATTCCAGAAGTTAGGAAAAGAGAGTGCCATCAAATGAAGGCAGAATGTGCTCAGGCAAGTCTGGTGGGCTGTGATAGGGACTTATAGGAAGCTGGGGTTCTAAGTAGGAGAGTGATAAGCTTCATCTAACTTTAAGAAGATGACTGAATACAATGTGAACCACAGGTAGGGAACCACTCTCTGTCTAGATTTTCAAGATTCCCAGACACTGCCTCCAGGCAGTTTCTGAATCCAGATTAATATGGCCACTCTTCCATTGGATGTGTTGTAATCACCTCCACTTCAAGGTACACTTTAAAAATCTTTAGTGAACTAGCTTTTAACTATATGATTTTGCTTACTTCAAAATTGCCATCCTCTCTAAACACCTAGTACTTCTACCTCCTCAAGCCAGTTATGATTCTCAAAAAGGCATCCTGGTCCTATTGTCTGTCTAATGACTCCTGCTAATGAAAGAATTACTCAAAAAGATTTGTGAAGGCATGGTAAGGTAGACTTTATTCAGGACCATCACAATAGGTGTAGGAGCCATGCCAACAGGGTCTTCAGGGGTGAGAGAGATTGGGCTCAACCTTGAAAGCCCATGGGCAAGTAGGAATGTATGACCTCAGAATAGGTGGGGGAGCAGTAGAGGGAAAATTCTTAAGAGGAATCTTTGTGGTTAGAAGTTTCTGATTAAACCAACCTGACAGGATTCTTGCTGAAGACCACCCAGAATGATCAGAAACCACTTGAGGGATGTCGCAGGTGAGGAATCTGGTCAGATATGGAAGGTGATCAGATTGAGGGTGGGATTAGGCCTTCTTGCTAAACTGACTTAGCAAAGTTCTTTCTGATGCTGCTTTTTATAAGGGAGTGCACAGGTGGACCTAGAAGAAGGTTTAGGAGCCTGACTACTGTGGAACTAGGCAAAGAATCTGTCACCCCTCCACCTCACACATCAACTCAGGACTCAACTCTAGGGAGAAGCTCTGTTGGCACCCAGCTGAAGTGGCACCCACCTTCCCAGCTGTGCTGCTGCTCTGGGTTCACTTCTGTTACACGGGCTACAGTGGATGCCAGACTGGTTTACGTGTCATCATCCTTATGGGAAGGGAGCAGAGGATCCTCTCACATACATGGTAGTGCCAGCACAGGAAACTTTTCACTGATTGGTGACTCCCTTGCATTTCTGCTCTCCATCTTCCTCACTAGTGCTTCTTATTCTTTGATGCACAGAACTTTTCTGCAAGATGATGACAGGAAAATCCATTCAGTCCTAGTAACACTTCTGTTTATCTGTACAATTTGGCATGCATGTATGGCTTGTGTAGTTTATCGAGTGTCTTCAGATATACATCCATATTTTATCTCCGCCGTGCTGTGTGCAAATATGTTACAATGCAAGCTAACAAAGAAATTATTTCCTGTATAAAGTGACACTTTCACTCTGATGTAAATCATGGAATCTGGGACTGAGGTGTCTTGGTTTTACAATGGTTACATCTCGTTTTTATTTCATGGCAGCTTAGATTCCCCTTTAGCCTATGGATAAGTACGACAGCAAATCTTACTTTTTTAATTTAATTTATTTTGTAATATATTATTGTTGTACTAGGCTATGTTTTGACATTTACATAAAGTGCTTACAATGTATCTTGGTTAAATTCACCCCCTCCATCATTCTCCTTTTCCACCATTCTTAGAAGTGTTTCAGCAGGTCTCATTTCTATCTTCATACATGAATATATCATATTTCTACCATATTCACCCTCCTTCACCCTTTCCTTATATCCTCCCCACTCCCACTGGTACTAACCCCCTGACATGACCTGTTTATCGTCCTGCCCTCCATTTTTGAGAAGAGACATTTTTGTCTATTTAAAATTTCTTTTTTTTTTTTGGATATTTTTAAAGTTTATTTCTATTTTAACTAGCCCACAGACCAAACTCTGCATATTGAGTTGATTTCTTTCTAGCACATGGTCTATGGACCCAACTCATAGTAATTTTCTTCCCGTTCCCTTTCAAAAAGTCTGCATCTTTCATCATGATGTACATTTTAAGTTAAAATTGCCAATACAACCCTCAAAATGCAAGTTTATTGAACAAAGCTGAGAAAAGCAATAAACAGACAAAAAATGCATCCATCCAAATAAAAAATTTACGTATTTACAAAGTTCAGTAACTGTTTTGACATGCAGAGGTTATGCACAGGAAAATGGTAGTAGCATTTAGATGTCTTAAAAAGCTGAAAGCAATGAACAGACACACAAAAACATTAAGGTTTAGCTGTAGGTCAATTAATAAACCTAAATAGTCCCCACAGTCACACATTCTAGTTCTAATCCATCTGTTTAGGCACAAGCAAGTTGCCACATTCTTTGTAATGGATCGCACTGACCATTAATGATGTCAAGCTAAAGCAACAGTTTAAATTTCCCTTCATTTACAGAATCACCCATTCCATCTGCAAGTATCCAACATGCCTCAAAGAATAAGAGAACTTCTAAAGCCCACACTTTACTTATTAAAAATGTGAATGGAGGAAAACAAGTAGTGTCTGTGCAACACAGCGCAGTATTTTGTACAGAATATTTTTAAGGCCATGGCAGTCTATAAATTAAAACTGGTATCCATTAAAAGAACTTACTGTTGACTACACACTGAGTGTTCAACACATATGAAAATGCACTGTCTACAAAAGTGCTGCTTAATAACAGAAAGAAAATCACACACAGTGTGAGGCAACACATAAGCAGATGTACCACAGACTTATCTACTACAGCAGTTATGTGAATAACAATTTACAAGTGAACCAGTATTAATATGTCCCTTTATATATATGGAGATCACTAAACTACAAAACATGTTTGTTTTAAGTTTTTATACATCTGTATTATAGAAGCAAATAATAAACAGCATCGGTTCCTCAGTCCTCTGTGTGATTGATTATTAAACAACCTGTAGACATTGCATGATTACATTAGATAAAGCAGGCAGGTCTAGAGTTGTCACAATAATCAAGACATCTAATGGCACCGGACAAAGGAGTGCCAAACCTTACTTGGTAAGAGAAAAATAAGAATTTTTATTTGTTTATAACTACCTTTTGTGCTGAAAGTCAACTTTATGACTGGATATAAAAAGTCAAGAGTTAGAGTGTCGTGCAGTAGCACTGATTCAATGACTAGAGATAGAACAAACAAGTATTTGAATAAAATCTGACATTGTGAACAGGTTTTATTGTATTGGCTGGAATGCTCTAAATTCATGAAAGCTTGAGAAAATCTTCAATTCCCAACCCCTTAAAAAATTGTTAAAAGGGGGGAAAAAAAGTAATAATCCAGATAGACACAAAACAGCATGCTTTAACTTCTCCCATCTCCCCAACTGCTATCTGCTGATAAGGGATTCTCAGAAAGCAGGTTTATAAAATCCATCAGGTAGGAGCTCTCAGTAAGAACCAACAACGTTGAACTGGTGCTTCTGCTCACTCTTTGCAGACCAGTTTTTAAATTCCTACGGTGCAATTATATTTCACATGCATTTGTGAGATAAAATAAACATTATACTCCCACATGAGTCAGGCTTAAAGGTTTTCTAAATACTGTGTGTGGCACTAGAAACTTCATGCGGTATCATGTCAGTATCAGTATTAGGCTACCGGACTCTATAATGAAATATTACAGACTAAAATTTACTGAAAACCAATATAAAAATCTGGCCCAGAAAGACCAGAATGAACATATCCAATTTTCTTGATTTAAGATGGTCAAAAATCTTTTTTTTTTTTAAGGAGATTTAAAAAAGAAGAAAAAAACTCTACACACTAAGACAAGTATGTGTGAGAAGCCTTACTGTGTGTGTGCTGACTTTATCATGACAACTCTAGCTGATTCATTATGAAGGATTAGGGAAATACATCTTCAGCAGTGCACATGAGAAATAAACTCTGAAAAAGGCAATTTCTTGGGTTTAGGAAGGACCGTATTCTGGGAAGTACTTCAGAGGAACGGACAATAATTCTAGGATTATAGCCAAGAAGGACTGGAAGACTTCATGGATGTCTCAGCTTCTTCTCGATTTTGAGTGTTGAATAAGCCACTGAAGTGTGATATCTATATTATCCTTTTCTTTGCAAGAAATTGAATAGCAGCAAATTTCTCTATCCTGAATAGCAGACAGATTCATTTTTTCAATTAGCTGTTTCTCATCCAAGGCATTTGGAAGATCTCTCTTGTTTCCAAGAACTAGTACTGGAATTCCTTGTAACTGCGGTTTATCTAGAAGATTATGTAGTTCGTTTCGAGAAGGTTCTATCTTTTCACGATCTGCAGCATCTATCATGTAAACGATGGCATTGACTCCTCTGCAGTACTGCTCCCACATGCTCCGGAATCGGGGCTGTCCTCCAATGTCCCAGATCTTTATTGTGACGTTACCTTTAGTTACTTTCCTCATGTTGAAGCCCACTGTGGGTAGCATGTCTTCACTGAACTGACCTGACGCGATGACATTGACGAAGGTGGTCTTGCCCGAGTACTGCAGCTCCAGCTCCTCCTTCCAGAAGAGCGAGCGGAACCAGTCCAGCAAGCGGGAGATGAGCGCCAGCGTGTTGACGGCTCGGACGGAAGACGAACACGAGGGCAGACAAACGACGGCCGCGAGGACTTCCACACGAGCGGGCCTCGGCCCGGACCCCCCACCCCCTCAACGGCTCCTCGGCCCGGGCGCGACGCGGGCGGACACGGGAAGACGGCGGCGGCCGGAGCCGGGAAGCCGAATGGGTCATATCTAAAATTTCTATACAGAGAGTTTCATTTTGACATTTCCTTGCATATATTGGTTGGATTCCCAATTGCTTCATCCCCCGCATTTTTCTCTTTTCTACCTTAGCCATTTTTTATGGTGACATCAACAGGTTTAAAAATTCAATATTTATTGGTGGAGTGGGTGATGAAGGAGAATGATGGAGAAGGTGCATTCAGCTATGATACATTGTACGACCTTTAGAAAATGTCACAATGTACTTTCAGTTCCACAATAGTAAAAAAGCTGATATCCATTCTTGTATAGAAAGTACCTCAACTATATTCATCACCTTTACTTACTTTATCTTCCCTCTTCTGTTAGTATTCTTTCATTAGCATGACCTGGTTTTCATTTTTGCCCTTCATTGTTTCAGTGTCTATTTAATATTCAGTGGGATTGTACCTGTCATACATTGTGCTTACATCTATGTAACCCCCCTCCCTTATCCTGTGCTGTCTACAGTTTCAGCGTGTTTCCTTGTGTCTTGTTCCTGCACAGATGTGATGTACTGCATTATTATTTGCTACTTTTTCTTTCCTTCCTTTCCTCTTCCCTTGGTCTCCTCTACTAGTCCTACGTTCAGATACATTCTCTGTATGCATGTTTTAAGCATATATAACATTGCTTGTATTGTATTGGGCTTACATTCCACATATGAGAGAAAACATGTGGCCTTTGGCTTTCTGACTAACTTCTCCTAAGATGACGTTCTTCAGTTCCATCCATGTACCCACAGTGACAAAATTCATTCTTCATTGTGACTGAATAAAATTCCATTGTATATAAATACCACATTTTCTTAATCCATTCAGCATTTGTGGGGCATCTTGGCTGTTTCCATAGCTTAGCTATTGTGAATAATGTTGCAATAAACATGAGAGTGCAAGTGTCTTTATTATATCCTGAATTACATTCTTTTGGGATAATTCTGAGGGGTGGAATTGCTGGATCAGATGGCAGTTCTATTTTTAGCCTTTTGAGAAGCCTCCATATTCTTTTCCATAGTGGTTGAACTAGTTTACATTCCCACCCACAATACATAAAGGTGCCTTTTTCCCCACATCCTCACCAACATTTGATGTTTGTGTTCCTGATGGCAGTCTTTCTAACAGGAGTCAGGTGAAATCTTAATGTTGTTTTGATTTGCATCTCCTTTATGGCCATGGTTGTTAAGCATTTTTTCATGTGTTTTTCAGCCATTTGGACTTCTTCCTTTGAAAAAAGCTCTGTTTAGTTTACTTACACGTTTCATCATAGGGTCACTGAAGTTTTGGGAGCTGAGCTTTTGAGCTCTGATTCTGGTTATGAATCCTTTGTTAGATGTATACCTGTCAAAGTTTTTCTCCCATTTTGTGGGCTAGCTCTTCAATCTGGTGACCGTTTGTTTTGTTATGCAGAAGCTCTCTATTTTCTTGTAGTCCTATTTGTCAATCCTTTCTCTTAGATGCTGAACCATTGGAGTTTAGGAAATTTAGGAAATTATTGCTTACACTTATAAGTTCCCTACTCTTTCCTGCTCTACCTTCAAGTTTCAGGAGTTATATTTAGGTCCTTGATCCACCTTGAGTTGATACTTGTACAGGGTGAAAGACATGGATCTAGTTTCAGTTTTCTACAGGCAGCTATCTAGTTTTCCCAGCAACATTTGTTGCTGTTTTCTTCCACTGTATATTTGGGGCACCTTTGTCAAATATCAGGTGGCATAGCTGTGTGGATTCATACCTGCTTCTTCTATTCTGTTCCATTGGTCTTCATGTCTGTTTTTGTGCCAGTAACATGTTGTTTTTATTGCTAAACTCTGTGTATAACTTGAAGTTAGGTATTGTGATACCTCCAATGTTGCTCTTCTTGCTCAGTATTACCTTGTCTATTTGCAGTCTTTTGCACTTTCAAGTGAATTTAGGGTTGATTTTTCAATCTCTGTGATAAATGTCATTGAAATTTTGTTGGGGATTGCATTGAACATGCAGATTACTTTTGATAATATGGCCATTTTCACAATATTGATTCTGCCAATCCCTGAATATGAAAGATCTTTTCATCTTCTGTAGTGTTCTTTGATTTCTTTCTTCATTCCTTTATAGTTTTTATTGTAGAGGTCTTTCATTTCCTTTAAGTTTATTCCTATGTATTATATTTTTTCATGTAAATAGAATTGTTTTCCTATATTCTTTCTCAGTCTGTTCACTGTTAGTATATAAAAAGACTAGTGATTTTTGTATATTGATCCTGCTAATTTGATGAAGGAATTTCCAGGAGATTTTTTTGGTGGAATTTTACAAGTATTTTAGGTATAAAATTGTATCACCTGCCAGTAAGGATAATTTGACTTTGTTCTTTCCTATTCGAATTCCTTTTATGTGTTCTTCCTATTTTATTGCTCTTGTTAGTAAGAGTGGAGAGAGTGGACACCATGTCTCATTCCTGACCAAGAAGGAAATGGTTTCCGTTTTCCTGCATTAAATATGAAGCTGGCCACACGCATGTCCTATGTAGCCAATATCATGCTGAGATACAGTCCTTCTGTCTGTAGTTTCATCACAGCTTTAATCATGTAAGGACGTTGAATTTTGTCAAAGGATTTTTCTGTTATCTATTAAGATGATCATGTGGTTTTTGTGTTTGCTTCTGTTACTATTCTGTATAACATTTAATGGTTTGTGTGTGTTGAACCATCCCTGAAACCTGGGTTTGATTCATAGTGTATGTTCTTTTTGATATGTTGTTGAATTTGGTTTGCCAATATTGCATTGAGAATTTTTGCATATAAATTCATTAAAGAAATTGGCCTATATTTAATTTTTGGCTGTGTCCTTGTCTGGTTTGGGTATGAGTGTAATGGTCGCTTCATAGAATGATTTTGGCAGTATTCCTTCCCTTTCTATTCCATGGAGAAGATTGAGGAGTGTTAGTATTAGTTTTGCTTTAAAGATAAAAGCTCTAAGAAAACTAGGAATAGAAGAAAAGTACCTCAAAATTATAAAGGCTATATATGACAAACCTATAACCAAAATCATACTTAATGGTAAAAAACTAAAACCATTTCCCATAAAATCAGGAATGAGACAAGGGTGCCCACTATCCCCACTCCTATTCAACATAGTACTAGAATTCCTAGCCAGAGCAATTAGGCAAGAAGAAGAAATAAAAGGAATACAAATAGGCAAAGAAACTGTCAAAATATCCCTATTTGCAGATGATATAATCCTATACACTAAAGACCCAAAAATCTCTACCCCAAAACTCCTAGACACCATAAACAGATACAGCAAGGTGGCAGGATACAAAATCAACTTACAAAAATCATTAGCTTTTCTATACACCAATAAGGAACAAACTGAGAAGGAATATATGGAGACAATTCCATTTACAATAGCCTCAAAAGATACCAAATACCTAGGAGTAAACTTAACAAAGGGTGTGAATGACCTCTATAAGGAGAACTACAAACCCCTGAAGAAAGAGATCGAGGAATACTACAGAAGGTTAGAGAGATCTCCCATGCTCATAGATTGGTAGAATAAACATAGTAAAAATGGCTATACTACCAAAAGCAGTCTACATGTTTAATGCAATTCCCCTCAAAGTCCCAATGACATTCATTACAGAGATTGAAAAATCTATACTAAAATTCATTTGGAAACACAAGACACCGTGAATAGTCAAGGCAATATTGAGCAAAAAGAACAACTCTGGAGGTATCACAATAACTGACTTCAAACTATATTACAAAGCAATAGCAATAAAAACAGCATGGTACTGGCACAAAAACAGACATGAAGACCACTGGAACAGAATCGAGGACCTAGATATGAATTCACGCAGCTATGCCCACCTTATTTTTGACAAAGGTGCTAAAAACATATGATGGAGAAAAGACAGCCTCTTCAACAAATGTTGTTGGGAAAAGTGGTCATCTGTCCGCACAAAACTGAAACTAGATCCATGTTTATCAGCCTGTACTAGTATCAACTCAAAATGGATCAAGGACCTTAATATCAGACCTGAAACTCTGAAGTTGGTACAAGAAAGAGCAGGAACCAGTCTCAAAGTAATAGGTATAGGGAAGGAATTCCTCAATTGAACCCCTGCAGCTCAGCAACTAAGAGAAAGTATGGAAAAATGGGACTTCATAAAACTAAAAACCTTCTGCACAATAAAAGAAATGGTCTCTAAACTGAAAAGAACAACCACAGAGTGGGAGAAAGTATTTGCCAGCTATACATCAAAGGACTGATAACCAGAATATACAGGGATCTTCAAAAACTAAACTCTCCCAAAATCAATGAACCAATAAAGAAATGGGCAACTGAACTAAACAGAACTTTCTCAAAAAAGGAAATTAAAATGGCCAAAAAACACATGAAAAAGTTCTCACCATCTCTAGCCATAGAGAAAATGCAAATCAAAACCACCCTAAGATTCCACCTCACCCCTGTTAGAATAGCCATCATTAAAACACCACTAACAACAGATATTGGCAAGGATGTGGGGAAAAAGGAACCCTTGTACACTGCTGGTGGGAATGCAAACTAGTACAACCACTCTGGAAAAAAACTTGGAGGCTTCTAAAAAAACTAAACATAGATCTGCCATATGATCCAGCAATCTCACACCTGGGGATATACCCAAAGGAATGCGACACAGGTTACTCCAAAGGCACTTGCCCACCCATATGCATTGCAGCACTATTCACAATAACCAAGTTATGGAAACAGCCAAGATGCCCCATTACTGACAAATGAATTAAGAAAATATGGTATTTATACACAATGGAATTTTACTCATCCATGAAGAAGAATGAATTATTATCATTCACAAGTAAATGGATGAAACTGGGAACATAATTCTGAGCGAGATTAGCCTAGCTTAAAAAACCAAACATTGTATGTTCTCCCTCATATGCAGATTTTAGGTCTAGAGCAAATACAGCAATGTGGTTGAACTTGGGTCACACGATAAGGGGAGCACACACATGGA